GCCTACTACAGATTACTAATTGTAGAGCATTTCCTCACGGCCGTAATGCCGATATATGCCTAACAAGCCAAATCGGAAGATTTTCAATAGAAAGCGTTCAATAGAGATCTTAGTGAACGAGAGTTCTATCATTTCACTTCAAACATTATGTTCAACGGGATCTTCATTGCAGTGGGTCTACAAATGATAATAAGCACCAATTAAAACGTGTGTGGAAATGAGGCTTAATTAGCTGTGCTATACATTGTTATAGCAGTGAGATTGTGGGATAATAATTGCCTAAATTATTCATAGTGCCTGTTGCGATTTGCTAAAAAATATAATAATAATAATCAAATTAATAATATGTGCTATGAGAAAATAGATGTTACACTTAAAATCATTAAGTAGTGGGGAATAAAATTCTCCCGCAGAAGTAAAACGGAGCTTCCTGCCCTCAAGATCAATTAGTTTTAATGTTACACACGCAGCCGCCAATATCTCAGACCCATGTCATTTTAATTTTATATTTTAACAATATTATGAACTTTAAAAGTATTAATTATTAAAAATTATTAGAATTATTAGTATGTGATCAGATTCTATTTTATTTTATGATTCGTAGCAAAAGTATGTATGACGCTTATTTGACTTTTGGCCTATTTAATGCCATGGGCCGCTAAAAAAGTCTCATTGAAATGAGTTTTTTAGTTTTTATTTTAACTTTTATGCAGCAGAAAAAAATGTAAGATGAATTATTGAGTTGGATGCCTGATGTTTTCTATCTATATTAGTACTAAAAAAGTCAATTTTATTTTTTAACTAATTTTAAACAAAAAAAAAAAAAAAAAAACCCCCAAACCCAAAAGCTCCAATTTTTCAAAACCAAAAAAAACACATCCAAACAAAATATCACATCCAACCCCATAATCATTTCACTTTTTCTCTCACAAACATCACATCCAATCACATAAAAACTCAACTATCTTCCCAAACACTAAAAATTTTTTATCTCATAAAAACCTACATCTAATAAAATCTACATAAAAACTCACTACCCAAACACAATCTATTTTAAAAGAAAAAATTTAAAAAATATATTTTATTTTTTAAAATTATTTTTAGAGTCATGATTTGAGTGTGGAGTTGTATTTTGAGTTATGAGTTTTGAAAAGAAAAAATTTATTTTGTTATAAGTTTTGAAATTTTTCGAATTTATTTTTTTAGGGTAAATATTTTATATTTTAAATATTTTTATTTATTTTAATGTGTATTATATTTCATACATTTATGTGTTGTATATTTTTAATATTTTAAATATTAAAAAAATTACAAAATTTATTTTTTATTTTAAATGTATAATTTTTATTATAAATATTTTTAAATTATTTTATTTTATGATTGTGTTGGTAAATCACCGGCAGTGGCAGTGAACAAAGGGTTTTATGGTTATGGTTGAACAAAAGGTTTTTTGTCTTTTTGCAGGCAAAAGCAAGGGTAATGTGGTAATTTTCTATATGATACTAATGTCGTTTGTGCAAAATAAACAGAATGGGGGAATCTTGATATTGTCAGGTAAAGTAAGGGAGGTTACTGTAATTATTCAAACCACATGGGAGGTCCCTGTATTTATCAGAAACCTTGGGGGAGGTAAATGTAATTTACCCTTTTATTTATTTTCAATCTAAATTATTCATCTATTTTCATTGAGTAAAACTGATAGAAAAATAGTATTTTAATCATTAAACTCAATATAAATATATATAAAATGTCTAAAATATTATTCTTTATTAAATTTAACGATTAAAATATAATTTTTCAATCAATTTTACTGAATGAAAATAGATAAATTTTTTAGATTAAAAATAAATTAAAATTTTAGTATTTAAATTCACAAAATTAAAAACTCAAAGTTTATTTTGGCTCCGTTTGACAAGAGCTAAACGGGACTTTTTTAGCTATTTTAGCCACAACAGATAAAATAGGCTATTTTAGCCACAAAAAATAAAATATCACATCTAACCTATAATTATTACATTATTCTCTCACAAAAAAAGTCAAAACAATTAAAAAGCCAAAAAGTCTTTCCCAGACCAAACTTTTTAGCCCAGGCTAAAATAGCTAAAAAAATCAAAAAGTCAAAAAACTAACCTACTTTCCAAATGGAGGCTTTGTTATAAAGGGTAAAAGTAAGTATTTATTGACGGAAATAAATTTCGTCACCTATTATTTTTATATTTTTATTTTAAGTGAAAAACATTATATATTTGTCAAAAACAATTTACTTTCCAGTCCGTCAAATCTAAAAGGATCTAAAAAGTTTTTTTTTTTATATAACCTTAAAAAAGAGTTCACTTAAAATAAAAATAAAATAAAATTTTCGTCTTTAATAGATTTTTTCATATTTTATTTTATTTATTTTTATTCTTAAATCCGTCTTATCTAGGAAAACGTGTAAAATATTTTGATTTAAAAAAAATTATTAAAAGTAAAATAAAAGTTATTAATAAAATAATCGCCACACTCTACCAAAGTAGCAGCATAATTATGGATTAGGTTTTCCTGCTGTTTAAACTAAAGAGTGTTGCTTCCATGAGTCCTATTTTGATAATTTAAATTGTTCGTTTAATAAAATCTTTTGTGTATCAAAAAATTAAGTTAATTCGATA